AGTTAATTGTACTACAATTCGGTCATCGTTAGCATTTATTTAACAATCCAGCGATACGAGCCCGAGTATATTTGGGTAATCCCTCAAGGTTTCGAGGATAATCGTAACAAAATATTAAAATAAAATAAGTTCACTTCTAATTGTTACTCATTAATTATAATTTGTCACAAAAAATTTACTTTTCAACCAAACACAACCCTTCGTTCAATTACTTACATGTGGAACACCCTGTGACGCATAACCATGGCAACCATAAACAACAAAACTGCCAAGAAGAAAATTCAGCTCAGCTGCTTGCATCTGTCATTTTCTGTTGAAATTTTGTTGTCTGGTTTTAGAAAGGCGGAAAATTTGTAAAAATAATTAATTTTTATACTTTTATAAAGAAAAACATAAATTAAACAACGTAAAATAAGTAAAAAAACACCAGCGTTAAAATGGCAGACCTTAAAAATGACGTCGATAGTGATTTGGATCAGAATTACTCATTGAACAGTAATGCAGATCCGAAGAATATGCAGGAGTTGACTATTTACGTGAGTAATCAATAAAATGCGGGGTGGGAATGTAATGCGTTATCTACAGACTTATCGTTATATTTATTGTATGAAAAAAAATTAGTTTCCTTTAGGTCGGTGTTATGCAGAAATTTTGTTTGGCAAACTTCGTGCAATTGTTGTTGCAGCAAACTCGGAGAGAGCGAGTTTGGCGACTCTCACAGCAAACTAATTTTGTTTGGTCAAACTGCAGCAAATTCGGTGTTGTCATATACAAAAATTTTAAATTTTGCGCGTTATGTACATCTGAAATTCTCATTTCGTGTTGGCAATAGCCATGAAAACCATAATGAACGTGCAACCCTGTGCCAAACTCGACATAACCACCTCCGAGCAAACTAAGCAGCCGCCATTTAATTTGGCAAACAAAAGTTTGTCTGCATAACACCGACCTTACTTGCGCAATGCAGCAAACCTGCACTTTCGTGGTGCACGCCACTCTCACTCTTTGCTAATGTATACAAATTTGTACCTACAGCAGCGTCAAAGCCTTGTTAATGAAAGGGCGGGGAAATGTAATAAAGTATTCACACCCCTGAATTTTTTCTTCATAAAGAAGTTTTCCTATTTTTTGCTGTTTATTGCAAGCTTGAAATTTTCCACTGAATATGCAACTTATTTCTAGGTTCAAAATCTGCTGCAGAACGTGCAAGACAAATTACAAACAATGTCGGATCAAATAATCACACGCATCGATGATATGGGCAA